CCAAGATAAGATTTTTCTTTTGATTTTTGAAGTTATATACTTGATTTTTGGATTTAGCTATTAGATATATAATTAATCTACATGAAATTATCTATCAATTGATATAAATACTTCATGGTGAAGATGATTGTGTGATTAGATTTGACGATTAGGGTTTAAGGAGGGTTTAGTGATCTTGAAGAATTGACGAAGGATTTTTATGTTTTTGATGTTAGTGATTATTTTAAAGCATGTATAATGATTAAAATTAATTGTACATGCATATATAAGGTTTGGCTTATTTAGGGTTTATGGAAGTGTTAGGATTTTGATTCGATTTGATGTTGTGATGATTGGAAATGCATGAATTTAATCATAGGAGGTTGAATTCATGCTTGAAATTGAACCCAAAAAAAACCCTCCCCCAGGTGACATGAAGCATTCAGCCAAAGGGAAGAAATTGGGGGGGGGGATGTTGAAAAATTTCCTATGGATTAGAAATGATATTAGAAGTATTATATGTGATTTGGAGATTGATTTGGATCAATTTGGAACATTGAAAGTGAAAAGGGACTAGTTTACAAGTTCTTGGAATTGTGGGATATTACTATAAGAATGTAATATTTTAAGGTTTCAATGTTGATTTTTGATATTTGTAATGTTGAAAATTAAGTTGGAAAGTTGTTTGGAATCAAATTGTAAATTTGGTAAAAATAGAAGTGGAATTCGAAAGGTCTCAAAACCTTGGGGACTTGTTTGCAAGTTATTAAATGTATAGGTATTGTTTGGGGAAAATTATTGAATGCTTGAAAATTTATTAGTATGCTGAATTTTGAGTTAAATATTGAGTTGGGTTGAATTACAAATTTATAAAGTTAGGTGGTTGAAAATTGAAAGTTTAGGAAAGTTTGGGTAGAAATTATAATGTTTTGAATGTTGAAGTATTGATTTGGGTATTTTATTAAAGTGCTGAAATTTTAGTAATTAACGAGCAATGATCATAATGGTGAATGACCATTATGAATTAAATGGGAAGGTTGAGGTGAATTCTAAAAAAATCACAATTTGTGGCTTATTTATGTAAATTAGCAAAAGATGAAGGGTTAAGGATGAAAATAAATATTCATGGATTTGGATGAGTATTTTGAGAAGTTTGAAATTATATAGAAATATCATCTAGTTTGATATCGATTTAATCTTGATTTTTTTTACTTTATAGATTTCGAATGTCAAAATCAGCTTATGTTAGTACGATACTAATACGTAGTTCAAACATTTTGTGATATTATTTGGTATTGTCAGCTACGATAAACCTAGCAATACGAACGATCTGAAAGTAAAGGACAAAGCTCGTGAATAGGATTATTGTATACAAGTTATGTAGTGAGTCAAATTTGAGTACAATTTATTTATTTATTTATTTTGATCAAAGACGGCTTGTGATAAGTCAACCTCACATTGTTTATTTTAAAGATATGAATTATGTTTTGATTATGGAATTATATCCGTAATATTTTAATAAGTTTATGAATAACTTTGGGAATGGACTGTCAATATCATGTTTTACGAATGCGATTTAAACATATTTCTGATTTTGATATAATTTTTATCAAATGATTATGATATAAACTGAAAGCCCACTGTATGTTATATTGAGAGTCAAAGGTACCATTGGCATGCCATGAGGTAGAGTGATTATATTTCGATTTTGATATATTGTGATGTACCAGAGTGTACACTAATATATATATTCTGATGTGATTGCACTTTGTATGCATATTGTGATTTCCGATGTGATAGCACTGTGTGTGCTTATCTATTCCGATTCTGATGATAACACTGAGATATGTATTGCGCACAGTCGTCTGAATCACATACCTTATTTTCTCTTAAATATACTTTAGGTTATAAAATGAAATATGAAAATTCTGAAAAATGACTGACTATAAAGGAAAGTTGACTTATTACTCTGTCTGATCTGATTTATTATAATTCTGTAAAAATCATAAGATGATTCTTTTCAAGTTTCTGATAAAGAAACAACTTGAGATATATGGGTTGAACATTTTGAAAGTTATGCCGGTTTTATTTTAAATAATTTTTGTATATTTTGATTATTTATTTATTCTCACCTTTAATCTTATTATATCACTAAGTTATATTTAGCGCATGATGATTTTCATGCGTAGGGTCTGATTGAGATACAAACGTTTTATGAGAAGCCTCCCAAACATCGTGTGCAGATAATCTATAACACTAATATCAATAAGACATCATTGATGTTTCTTTTGACTAGAGTGACATATATAATTATGTTATTAGTCTGTTTTATCAATTATGACTAAATGATCTATAATAATAAATTAGGACTGTTTAATTTGATTAGTTTAGTTTACCAATATTTGATATATATTATGTTTTTAAATGATGCGAAAATTCAAATTAGATATAAATAGTTTTAAAAGTTGTAAATAGTTATGTTTTTAAAAGAAACAAAATTTTAAGTAATTGTGAATAGTGAACATTGGTCAGTTTAATGTGACGTTTATGACTCGTATTTTTATACATATATGAGTTATGGGTGTTACAACATTCAACTTAAACGATCGTTGATTTTTTAATAAAAAATAACAAATTTAAAATATATGAACAGTCGATATACTATTTTATAACTTATAATATCTAATGAACTCAACAAAATAACCTATTATAATAAAAAAAATTATAACTTTTAACCATATATGACCCAATAAAATAACAACTATAATCAGACAATTTGTATACTTTACCCAAAAGTTATTACATGGTGAATAAAGGGATGCAATAAAAGCAAAGTGTGGAGAAAGTAATGAATAATCACAAATTTCGAAGAAGGTAATTTTAATGAGAAAGAGATTGCTTTAGGCTCTAAAAGAAAGCTTGGCAGTGAGAGTAAATGGCCTTAATGACCAATAGCTCATCTGCTGCTTCTCTCATATCAATACCAACCAGGCAGAGAGATAGGGGGGGTTTTATTGAGGTAATTTATTTGCGCGATAATTTAATTTAAGATTAAAAATAATAATTTTAGAGTGTAACTTAAAATAAGATAATTTAAGCTAAACACAATTTAAAATATTATATTTTTAATAATATTTTTTATTGAACCTAAAATATTATGAATAATGTGATATTTTTTTTAATTTTTAATCGAAAATGTTATAAAAAATATAACATTTTCGATTTAACAGAAATATGTTAAAAATATAATATTTTAAATTGTGTCCAACTACACAATTTAAAATATTATGATTTTTATCACATTTTTAATTATACAAAAATTTATCAATTTTAACATTAAATTAGACTATCGCTCCTTAATTGTTTTTCATTTTATTGCATTTTTGCTTTCACTCGGAACAAAAATCGTAAATTCAGAAGTAATGTCAACAAAAGCAATGGCGAAACAACACTTTGTTTACCCATCAAGTACTAGGCAATGGGTTACTAAACAAATTGTTTTTTCCTTTCAAAAGATAGCACGAAAAACCAGGTAGTATTTTAAAATTTCGAATATATATACACACACACAAAGCTTTAAAGAGTAAATTTAAATAACAATTAATTAAATCATCAAATTATTTTTTGCTCAATTAAGTTAATGCACTTTAAAATTTTATCAAATTATTTTTTTTAAAATTCATGTTCATAAATTCATATATTTAATTAAATAAGTTTCTAAAATTTAATTGTTTTTATAAGTTGATACCACATATTTTGTCACGGTATTTTCATATGATATTTTCAAAAAATAAGTAATATTTTTTTATAGAATATTAATTTTTTTTAGAATCTTTCAATAATTTTTTTTCCAAATGCAACATGAAAAAGTCGTAGTATGCCAATCATAACAATGTCTCAGACAAAAATTTATTAGACTTAACGATTAAATTAGTTAAAAAAAACTTAATTAATTTAATTTTAAAATAAAAACATGTAAATTCACCATCAGATTTCATGTTTACACATAAGAAAGAATGTGATTTTAAAGGGTTCTACACAAAGTTAGGTGCCAAAGTGCAAAATGACAAGAAAGAATGTGTTTTGGGGAGATTTTAAAGGGTTCTACACAAAGTTAGGTACCAAAGTGCAAAATGACAAAAGTTTTTAAAGCTTCATACTATCACCTAACATGACACCTGTCATTCAATGTGGCAAATTTTCCCACAAAAAGAAAACCATGAGCCTTGGACCCGAAGTATAAATTAAATCTTGTGAGGGGCCTCTCATTTGACCGAACCAAACGATGTCGATAATAAATAAATTATTATTATTTATTGTATTTTAGGTTCATACAGTATGAATTTAAGAAGTGTAAATATTTAATATTAAAAGATTAAAAAAAATTAAACTGATATTATATTATAATTAATCATGTAATAATTTTTTTCAAAAAAAAAAAAAACAACACCGCCATTAAAATAAAAGCAAAAATGCTAAACCAAAACCTACTTTTTACACATGAGATAAAAGGAAAATAAAGGGGCTTCAATTTCATTGGCCCGATGTCTAAATTAAATGTTTGCAGTAAAAAAACTTTTACTCCCTAAACTTAATAAATTTTCATTATTTGATCCCTAATTTCCTTTTTATACACATTAATCCTTAAACTTGATAAATTTTCCTATTTTTATCATTTTAATCGCGTGAACACTTCGAAATCTTACTAGTCTCTCAAAATGTCAACCTCATTAGAATAATCATAAACAAAAATTTGGAGACTAATGTGTAAAAAGAACTAAATGTCAAATTGAGAAAATTATCAAATTCAAGGACTAAACATTGATATAGTCCTAAATCTTTTGAGGGTCCATTCCATTTAATCATCACCATCAAAATAAAAGATAAAAGGCCAACTCAAAACCTACTTTTTACACATCATATAGAGGAAGGAAATTAAAGAGAAATGGGGGAAAGGCCCTACACCATTTTTTCCACCACTCTTATTGCTTTAACCTAACTTAAGCTACAAGCTTTCCTTCCATATCTACATACATTACAAAATTATACCACCCCCCAAAACACACTTATACAAGTAGTATAAGCTCGGTCTTCGTATAATGCCGGAGAGTACATGTCACATGATCGAACACGCATTCGGGTTTTCGTCGCTGAACATTTCGAATGAGTCGGACAGTTGGGATGAGTACGATGGACACGATGAGTACGTGTCTAGATAAGGCGGGGGACGTTCGCTCATGTGGCCTGAGTGGGTATATGCGTATGAATATGGCGGCGGTGAGGTGTAATACGATGCATTATAGCTACTACTTGGATAAGCCGTATTGTAGTTAGTGAGGTACACTGGTGGTGCATGGTAATACGTTGGGTACTCGTACATCGGGTGCTGATGTGGCGGGCTTTGATTGGCTGGAGATGACATGGGAACCGGACCATAGGGTCCATGACCTTTGAAATGTGATCCAATGGTTGGTGGTGCAGCGTCGCCGTGATGTTCCCTTTCATCAACATTAGCATTCGCATTTGCCTTTTGCCCCTTCTTTTTGTTCTTTTCATTGCCATTGCCGCTGCCGCTTTTCTCAGCAGCATTAGCCTCACTTTCACCGGCGGCACCACCACTTTCACCGCCGCCAACTTTCTTCTCATCCCCCGCGGACTGGTTACCGCCCGCCGTGGTCACATTTTGCTTCACCTCAGGCTTCGGTTCCTTCACTTGTCCACCTTGATCACGGGTCACATTTTGCTTCCCCTCGGCTACCTTGTTTGACTCGCTACCATTCTCAGAACTTTTAGCACCACCTTCTAGATGAACCGAGGCTTCGTTTTTCACTGTTTCTTTCTCTTTCTCATCGCCATGGTTACTGTTATTATTAGCTTCACTTTGGGCAACTTGTTTGTCTTTGTTCTTCGATTTCCCTTGTTTTTTCTCTTTTTGTTCAGATTTTTCCGGCCATAGCTCTGCATGTCTCCCTTTCTTCACTAGCTTCTTGATCAAAGTCTTTGGATTTACGTGTAAGTTGGATTTTACAGTGGCTTTTTGTTGTTTCAAATCAGCATAAGCCTCGTACACGCCTGCAAATCACAGAGAAAATAGAATGGAAGATGAACGAGAGAAAATGGTAGGAAAAAAAACAGAAGAATTTTTCCCGCGAAAGAAAATCTCGAGAAAAAAAAGAAGAGAAAGTTATGATGAAGGAATGAAAGATTAACTGAAAATCAAAACAAAACCCAGATGAGAAAATGTGACAAACGACAAGATTTTGATTGTTTGAAACGATTTTAGAGGAAAAATCACTGAAATTATATCATAGTGATGAACAAAAACCATGTCAAAGTAAAAAGATAAGAGATTGTTTAAAATTTACCCTCGATTTTTCTCAGTGTCTTTTCGACTTTCCTCTTGCAACCTTCACAATGAATGGAGACTTTCAACACCCAAGCCTGAGAAAATCCATGAAAATAAAGGATGAAAAAACAAGGTTTAAAATCATTTGAAAAAAGGAAAAAAAAACAGGAAATTTTGTTTTTGTTTATGCATGCTTTTACCTTGTATTTGAGAGGAGGTTCTTGGTTTTCTTCAACCTCTTTAGACTCTGGTTTGGCTTCTGGTTTAATTTCTTGTTTGATTTCTGGTTTTCCTTCTGTTGTAGCCATTGGAACAATAGCAAAGGAGAAGGCGAGGGAAAAAAAGTTTTTTAAGTGAAGATTGAATTGAAAAACAGAGAGAGAGAGAGAGAGAGAGAATGCTTAAGAAGTGAAGGCTTAAAGAGAAAGGAAAAATAAATTAAAGTAGGGCTTGGGAGTTGGTGCTGAGTGGGGTGGCAAAAAGGACTATCTTACTATTTTATGACAAATTGATTAATTAATTAATTACTCCATTATTATTATTTAAAATATATTTTTATGTTTAATAATTATATGAGTCTTGTTTAATTTTAAAACTGAATCTAGTTAAATTACTATAAAAAAAATAAATGTTTTCTATATACATGATTTGAGCTCAAAAATCTTGTTAAAAGACATATAGATCAAACTATAGTATTAGAATCTTTGGTCGTGTTTATGTGATTTTTTAATATTTTAAATAATCAAAACAAAATTTAAATAATAGACGAGTGATCAAATAAATATTTTATCTTAAATAATATTATATCTATACTTGTTTGTAAAGTGGGAAGGATAGTTGGGAAAGGGTTATCTAAAGAGGAAGGAAACCAATAACACTAAGCATCATCAATACATTATTATAAATTGGAAAGCTTTACCGATGAGAAGAGGAAATAACTTTGACCCTCAACAATCATCAAGAATAAAGTTGTCAAGAACTGATCTCAGTAAATAGATGAAAATGAATATATTATTTTTAAAGATCTCACGTTCAAGTAATTATATCTGTATATAAAGATGGAGTTAAGATCAAATATGGAGGGGACAAAATTATTTTATATCAAAAGAATAATAACTTATTACATATTTAAATCTAAAAATTGAGAGAACCAAAAGACTTACTTATTGTATTTAAATTTAAAAAGGATATAAAATGCTATTATACAAAAAAAAAAAATTGGGAGGAATAATAGCCCTTCTAAGTTACTATGTAGCTTTATCCTTAAGATATTAATAACTAAAAAAAATTATAAATAAATATTATTTATATTCACTAAAAAAAATTAAAGTCTTCCCTTTTTCAAGTGCCAAAATAGTGGTCCAACTTGTTTCTCCAATAGCCTTTTTTTGGCCAGACACTCGTACACTCATTTACAGCTTTGATCGTGTACCCTAATCTTTTATTGACATATATTTATTGATATGTCTTCTCTTTCTATATATATATATATATATATATATATATATATATATATATATATATATATATAGGTAAATTATATATTTAGTATTTAATTGATATGTTTTAGTATCTAAACTTTTAATTTTTTTAAAATCATATCAAAAGTTTAGTTTTTATTTTATTTTTAATACCAAAACTTAAATGTTGAAAAAATTGAAAGTTTAGGTACCAAAACACATTTAGTACCTAAACCATAGTTAAGTTTTTTTAAATGAAATTCTTGGTACAAAAATGGACCAAAACTGATAGTTTAGGTATTAAACACGTTAAGTTTTTAACAACGGAGTATTAAAATAAAACAAAAACTAAACTTTAGGTATGATTTAAAAAAAAGGTACTAAATACATAATTTACCTTATATATATTAAAATCAAATCGGATCATACTTATAAACAGAGGGTTAAACTCTTTTCGTTGGCAATACAAAGGAGATATATCAAACATTATTGGATATAAACTTTTTTAAATGTTCAAATAAAGTCTTTTGAGTATCTTTTCGTTGAGTAAATGTAGATAAGGAATGTATATGCGGGTTTATATTATCTCTTCAATTTGTGTTTATGTTAATACGTGTATTTGACATATATTACATATATTTATTTTTCGGTATTATTATAGTAAATTTTTATCAACTTTTTTATTATATTTTCTTAAGTAACAAATAATTTTTGGATTTTGAGGGATTATTCTTTGCAAATCTACTTTTCTTATTTATTTTTAGTCCTCAACTTTCCAATAACGTCTCATACATGTTCAGTCCTAAGGTGTTAAATTCTAAGGTCAGAATAAAAATCAGACTCAATCGAAATTCAAATTAATATACAATTTATCGACCAAACACATAAAGACTAAATTATCAACATTTCAAAATGTGAAGACATTTATAAAAAATTATCAAATTCTTTCTATAAAACAATCCGAAACAGAAATTAAACATACTCATACCATTCAAAACATATGATGGTTTTCCCCGAAATCTCGTGTTTGTTTTACGTAATTCGTTTTTCGGAAAATGTTTTTCAGTGTTTGGTTGGAGAAAAATTGGTTGGTCAACGTAAATCATTTTCCTAGTCAACAAAATTTCCATTGTGTTTTTTTTTTTGGATAAATCAAATTTTATTTTCCAAAAGAGCAGAGTTCTGCTACAAAATACAATCAACCGATCAATACAAAAGAATTATACACAACTTGCTTACAAAAGGCAAAGATTGGTTAAGTAATACCCCATGCAATTCAAAGGTTAGAATTAATTCTATCAGCTCGATTAATATTTTTACCCTTTAGTTGGATTCGCACAGCTTCAATAATAACCTTGAGCAATTCATCTGAAGATCTGTGATGACTTTTGAAAATTCTGTGATTTCTTTCCTCCCACAATGTGTAAATATAGGCTGTCCAAGAAATCTTCAGAATTGTGATGAGTAAGGATTTCCCTTTCCATGTTGAAGTAGCCTGATTAACCATTTCTTCCCATGTAGTGGATGTATTCTTCAAGCCATTAAGCGATAGGACGGAGCTCCAAAGTTGAACAGCAAGAGTGCATTGACAGAAAATATGATTTCTTGTTTCCTGATCGATTCTGCAGTTTACACATGTCCATTCTGTTGAAATACCCATTTTGAGGAGCCGATCTCTAGTTGGTAATCTGTTTAACAAAGACATCCAAGCAATCAAACTGAATTTAGGAATGTGCATAGGAAACCAAATTAGATTCTTCCTGGGAACTTTCTCCCTTTTGATTCGGATAGAATCCCAAATATCTCGTAGCCTAAGAGAACTTGATGAGGAGAAGATGTTGAGAGCAGTAGGACGCAAATTTAGGAGTCTATTAATACTCCAGCCCACATTAGAACCTGCAACAAAATTCCAAAAATCTTGATCTTTGAAAACATAAGAATTTAACCAAGCCACCCAAAGCGAGCCATCACCCGCTAAGATTTTCTGGATTAGATCAATAGAACACGCTTTGTTCCAGATTTTAGTGTTTTTGAGGCCAAGGCCGCCTTCGGCTTTAGAGAAGCAGATAAAATCCCAGCTTACTCGAGCACCTGTGGCAGACTTATCGTCACAATTTCCAGAAAAATCTGGAGCAGAGTTGGTCCACTTTTGTAAGGATCGAATTGGGAAGGATTAGTTGTCTGCACCAATAATTTGAGACGCTGAAAAGGACAGAGCGGATGAGTTCAAGTCTGCCAGCGTAGCTCAGATTTCTAGCAGACCAATGGTGAAGCCTCTATTTAATTTTATCAATAAGCACAACACAATCCTTCTCAGTAAGTTTACGAGTAACAAGAGGAATACCTAAGTATCTCACAGGTAAGCTACCTTTTTTGAAACCAGAAATCTGTTGAAATAAATCCACTGATCTTGAAGAACAACCAGCAGAAAAAATTTCGCATTTGGAGGAATTAAGTTGAAGCCCAGAGATTTCATAAAAAAGGTCTAGAACACTTAAAACACCCATAATAGAGTCAGCATTACCCTTACAGAAGATCATTAAGTCATCAGCGAAAGAAAGATGGGTAAGGCCAATCCTTTTACATTTTGGGTGATAACCAAACACTCCTTTGGCAGCAGCCAAATTAAGCATCTTAGATAAAACTTGCATAGCAAGAACAAAAAAGAGTGGGAGAGAGAGGATCACTCTACCTTAAACCTCTAGCTCCCTTGAAATAACCAATAAGAGAGCCATTAAAAGAGATGGAATACCTAGCTTGAGTGAAACAAGTCTCAATCCAAGCTATAAATCTAGGAGGTAGTTGGAGGGCTTTGAGAATAGAGGATATAAAATCCCAATGAGGGGAGTCGAAAGCCTTATGAAGGTCAATCTTCATGGAGCATCTAGGAGAAATAGATTTCCTGCCATAACCTTTAACCAATTCTTGAGCGAGAAGGGTATTGTCAACAATGCTCCTACCCTTGATGAAAGCAGTCTGGTTTAAAGAGATAATATCAGGGATAAATTCAGACAATCTTTTAACTAAAATTTTAGTAATGGCTTTGTAAAAAACTGAGCAGCACGAGATAGGTCTGAAATCTTTAACAACTCGAGGATTATGAACTTTGGGAACAAGAGCAATGACAGTGGAATTAAATCCAGAGTTCATGTAGTTGTTATGGAAAAAATACTTAACTACAGCCAAGACGTCTTCTCCCACAATAGACCAGGCCTTTTTGAAGAAACAGGGAGAATAACCATCTGGTCCAGGGGCTTTATCATTCCCTTGACTGAAAAAGGCGTCTTGAATTTCTTTATTAGTAATATCCTTAACCAGAGCAGAAGCAGCTTCAGAAGGAAGAGAATAATTCAACAGCTCTTTAAGGGAAGAAGGATCAGTATTTTTAACTCTGTTGTCAACAGATCCAAGCAAATTGGAGAAACAGGAAGTAAATTCCTTAGCCATATCGTCGAAAGATTCCAAACGATTGCCATTTTCATCAATCAGAACACGAATGGTGTTTCTCTTGTTCTTAAAAGCAAGAATAGAATGAAAGAATTTAGTGTTCTTATCACCATTTTTAATCCACTGAATTTTTACCTTTTGTTTAAGAAACAAATTCTCAGCTTCTTCAAGAATCTTCAGCTCATCTTGAATAATAATCTCCTTTTCGATTCCATCCTCACCTTTTAAGGTACGGAGTTGTTGCAATTCCAGATCAGTTCTTTTAACTTTCACTTGAGTTTGGAGATTTTTGAAATTTTCATTGTTAAACTCTTTAAGGGAAGTTTTGAGTCTTTTAAGCTTAGAAAAGAGGACAGATATAGGATTACCAGAAGCATTATGGAGCCAAGAGTTCCTCACAACATTCAAGAAGCTAGGGTGAGTAGACCAGAAATTAAAAAATTTGAAAGGTTTAGGTATATTAAAAGGAGATTCTTTGACAAGGTTAACAATAACCATACAGTGATCAGATAAACCAGGAGCAAGGAATTCCACAAAAGAGAGAGGAAAAGAAGTAGCCCAGTAGGAATTAATAAGAACCCTATCAAGCTTCCTAACAAGAAAAAGTTCTTTTTGCTTGTTACTCCAAGTGAAAGTAGGACCAAAGAAAGGGTGATCAAGAAGTTCTAACTCATGAATAAGCTCTTGGAAATCTTTCATATCAGCAGATAAATAATGACAATAAATTCATGGTCAGAACTTTCATAAGAATGCAAAAAAGTATTAAAATCACCACCAATAATCCAAGGGTAATGACCAATAGAAGAATTTACATGTTTTAATTGGTGCCATAATTGTCTCCTAACAATTCCATCATTGCTACCATAAATAGCAGATAAGAAAAAAGGGAAACCATTGTGAAAGCCCTTAACAGTGATAATTTGATCAGAAGCAAAAATGACATTGAAATCAAGACTTTTTTTTCCAAAGCAACCAGATTCTACCATTAGTAGCATAGTCGTAGTTAGAACTGATATTCCAATTAGAGAATTTAGAGTTGAAAATTTTCTCAGAATTCTCAGCTTTAACTCTAGTCTCCAATAAGCATAAAACATCTACTTTATTTTGAGTAGCTCTATGGATCACTTTTTCTTGTTTGAGAGGATTATTAAGTCCTCTTATGTTCCAAAAGCTTAAATTCATTGGGAATGAGAAGATTCAATTTCACCCCCTACATTAGGACTTTTAGATTTTTCAACTAGATTTTTCTTTTTTGATTTTAATTCATTTACCAGACTTGCTACTCCCAAAGAAGCAGTTCTTACTTTTCTTTGTTGGTTATCTAAGGAAGTAGGGATGTCATCAACTAAGTTTAGTATTTCAAATCTGTTTTTTGAACCTGCAAATGGGACTTTAGAGTTAACCTTTGGAGGTCTTCCTCTACCCTTTTTAATTGAGGCAGGTTGAGAAACAACTTCTAAAATTTTAGAATTATCAGAATTAGTAACAACAGAGGCATTAGAAACATTCGAAATACCAGTAAAAGAGTCAGTATCAGTAAAAGCAGGATGTGTCTCAATGATAGTGCTATTTTTATCCTTATTAAAACCATCAATTTGAGAGGAATTTAAAGCTTTAACTTCAGAGGTCTGATTAATACTACTGGAAATAGCAACAGTAGGGTTAAAAGCATAGCAAGATTTTTCTTTCAGGGCTATTAAGGCGCTAAGGTCAGAAACAACAATAGAGGCAGAACTTGTTGATGTTTCAGTAAGTTCGGAACATTCCCCTAATTGAAGATTAGTAGTGACTATGGCATTAAGAGGGTCAACAACAGAGGTCAAAGGCACAATGTTAGCAATATCAGGGTCCTGTAAAGCTTCAATTCCTTCTACAACAGGGGCTTTAGAATTAGAAACAGAAGTTTCTTTACGTTTCCAAACCTGGCAAACAGTAGGTGAAGGGTTTTGCTTATGGACACACCCTTTTTCACTGTGACCAAAAACATTACACTTTTTACAAGCTTGAGGGAGCCAAGGAACCTCAACTAAAACCGATGTAGATTTACCATCTTTAAGCACAACATCGACATACTTAGGAATTGTTTCATTAGCCCCAATTTCGACACAAACTTTAGCAAACTCCAATCTAGATTTGGACGTGGTTATAGTGTCCATAGAAATGGGAACACCTATGGCACTGGCAACATAGCTAAGGCCAGCTCTAGAAAAAAGCTCGAGAGGGACATTGAACAAGAGAATCCAAACTGGAATTTTAGATAGATTAAAGCTTAGAGTTTTAAGGTTTGGTTCCCATTTTCTTAGTATTAGGGGATTATTATGCACATGCCAAGGGCCATTTTCAATCACCCAATTCATAGCAGATCCAGAAGAAAAAGAGAAGATGAAAAGATTGTTACCTGCAGTACTGACCTGAAATCGGGAACCCTTGAGTGCTTTGCTCCATAAACTGTTTAAGGTTCTTTGGGTTGTGGAAAAGCTAGGAGAAACCCCGAGAAACTGACCCACTAAAGATAGTTTCTACTCGGAGATACCGGCTTCTAAGATTTCAGAAGGTGGGAGAACAGTCGGTTTACCTTCGAGAGATTTTGGTGGAAAGAAATCAAGATCGTGGCCTTCTGAGCAGCCGAATAACTTTCTCCAGTCCATCTGTGGATGTGCAGCTCTCGTGGAAAGTAAGGAACTGTGAAAAAAATGAAATACGTAGTCGTAGCAGAAGGAATTCGCCGGAAAGACAGTCGGAAATCTCAGATTACGTTAGGCCCGCTAACGTGCACCCAGAGAATCTTGTTATCGTGCGCCCCAACGGTTCCATTGTGTTTTTTGGAAAATGACTTACAGTCTGATTTTCTGTAAGTCATTTTTCGAATTTTTCACTTAAAAGAATAAATACTCAAAATAATTTTATTTTATGAATTTAATATTAATAAAATATTTTAAAAATCATTTTAATCAAAATATTAATTATTAAAATATTTAAAATATATTTATTAATATTTCTAATAATATAATATAATATTTTAATATTATAACAAAATAATAAATTATATTATAATAATATAAGATATTATATTTTTATTTTAATAGTATATAATAAATTATTAATAAAATTTATATTATTTATTAATTTCATAGAAATAATATTATTAAATTATTAATAATGAATACTATTATTTATATATTTAATATTAATATAATAATCTAATAAAGATATTTAAAATATACTAATTAATATTTTTAAAATATAATATAACACTATTACTTTAATAAATAATTGAGAAAATAACCTCAGTGACCAAAAATCCCATATAATATACGATTTTAACCAACTTTTTCCAGATTTGCCAAAATGACCAACAAAATCGCAATGCGATCGCTAATTCGCAACGCGATCTCCATTATCGCAAATTCGCGTTGCATTTCGCGTTGCGATAGTTGAAAATCGCATTGCGATGGTCTACAGTATCGTTGCGATTTTCCCAATTCGCAATGCGAATAAGTAAATCGCAACGCGAATTGGGAAAATCGTAATGCGATACTGACTATCGCAATGCGATACTTACTATCGCAATGCGATAATACAAAATCGCAACGAGATACTGACTTTCGCAACGCGATTCTGACTTTCGCAACGCGATAATACATAATCGCAATGCAATTTTCAAAGCGCCATTAGTATCCTGGCCAAGTATTTTATTTTTAAATTCCAAACACGAATATTAATATATTGGAACACTGAACCGTCCACAGTATATCCCGTAATCGCAACTCATAACCTAAAACCTAAAATCACAACTCAGTCCCATCTCCATCTCTCACTCTCTCACCCATCTCCGACGAAATCCGTCCCCATCTCCGGCGAAATCCGTCTATCTCCATCTCTCAGAGCCACCCTCACAATCAGAAATGGAAAATCAACCAAATCAACCAACGAGGGTTGGTTTTTTTAATTATTTTCTTTTTGAAATTTTTGCATTATTATTAGGTTTTTCATATTGAAATTGATGATAAGATTACTGGTAATTTCAATAATAGATTAACCATTTCACTTAGATTGCTTATTAAATCAACCAAGAATCGCAACGCGAAATGCAAATCGCAACGCGATTTTAGTTTCGCGTTGCGATTCTCTCGTTGCGATAGTCAAATTCGCATTGCGATAGTCATTTTCGTGTTGCGATTTTCATTTTCACAAACTATTCTTCTTCTGCAAATTGAAACTTGAATGAATTGCATTACTTCAACCAAAAAACAAAGACAAATACGAAATTCACAGTGTTGCAAATTTAAGTTTGAAGAATAAACTACTACTCTTTATGTTTATTATTGTTTTTGGTATATCTTCACAGTGTAGTTTTTGGTATATCTAACTTAGTATGTTTATTGTTTTTGTAGAACTTTTATTCGGCTCAATTGACCTTAAGAAATAAAGTCAGCCTGGCCAAAACAATTGCGTCGAAGCTTTCACCTGCACAAAGAAAAATGTTTGAGGATACATGCTTCGGGCCATGGCTGAAAGTACAACATCCCGGTGGAGATGCGATGTTGACACACTTGTTTCTTCAAACCATGACTAGCGATCTACCAGAGACTATACAACGTCGTGATGAAGAGATATGGTTTGATTTTCCACCGGCGTATACGTGTTTTGGGCGGGAGGAGTTTTGCTTAATCACCGGTCTACGCTTCGGACATGATGATGTAGGTCGGTACACTAGACACATTACCCGCCCATCATGTCTATCCCGGGTTTTTCTTGAGCTGGAGAGGCCGAATCTACACGTAGAAGACCTGACAAGATTGTTGAATAAGAAAGATGGTTTTACTCGGATGGATGACGTCGACGTTGTCCGAGTATGCCTTCTAATTCTTTTGCATGCCGACTTTTTAGGCAGAGAGGCCAAACAACCTATTCCAAATGATCTAATCAAATTGGTAGAAGACCTAAATGCGTGGAACCTGTTTCCGTGGGGCTCATATTTATGGAAAGCTACATGGAATAAGTTATCGTCTGACTTGGATGATCGAAAAAGTTTGCATGGCGATGGTTCCAAATACACTTTGACAGGCTTTATTTGGGCCTTTAAGGTAAGAATTTTTATATAATGTTTCCAAAATTATAAGTAATTATTTAACAATTACTAATGTTTGTTATTATATTGTTTGTAGATTTGGATATTTGAGGCCTTTCCCGCCATGAAGACATATGCAATAAAAACTTCAAATGATATTCCCAGGGCTATTTCCTGGAAGAGGAAACGGACCTTGCAATGGGAAGATTTACTACGGTATACGACAATAAATAATGTAAGTTAACATAAATACAACCATATGTTTATAAACAAGTTATTACTAGTACACGTTTAACTTTGTTTGAGGTTTTATATTGTTAGGAGGCCAACACTCCTCTACAGAGGCTGACACCCACGAAAGCTGAGCTTGCCACTGATTGGTGGCAAGCTAGTAAGCGTTTTTTTGATGGAACGGTTGATGAGCAGCCTCTACTTCGGGAGCCATCACCTCGCCCAGAGCTATCACCTCACCCTAAGCCATCATCTGATCGACCCGACTATACACCTCCACAACGACAACCATCACCTATTATGTCACATCATCGAGCCTCTTCTCCATCATCACCGCAAGATAGACGACCGGTAAAGATGCCACGACGTTTATCTCCCTGTTCTCCACCTCCACCTC